CTTGAGCCCAGGAGTCTGAGGTTGCTGTGAGCTAGGCTGACGCCACGGCACTCTAGCCCAGACAACAGAGCAAGACTCTGTCTTAAAAAAAAAAAAAAAAGACTCCGTCTTTGGAACTTCTAGACAAGCACACGCTTAGATAAGGGAAACTCGTGCAGGGAGTGCCTGGTGGAAAGGAGAGTAATGGTCAGTATTTCCTCATTAAGAAATGGGCAAGATAATCTCAAAATGGAGCACTGAAAAACAGGCACGCTTACATTCCCATGACCCCCTCTTTAGGTTCAATTAATTTGCTGAAGCAGTTCATAGAACTCAGGAAAACAAATTTACCAGTTTATTATAAAGGATATTACAAAGGATACAGATGAAGAGACGCATAGCACGAGGTATGGGGGAAGGGGTGTGGAGCTTCCATGCCCTCCATGAGTGCACCATCCTCCAGGAACTTCCACATGTTCAGCTGTCCAGAAACTCCCTGAAACCTGTCCTTTGGGCCTTTAATGGAGACATCCATGATTGAAGCATGAATAGCCATGTTGAAATGTGATTGGACAAAAAGGGTATGATCAAAACCCAGCAAGCCCTGCCTGTTCAGATTCTTATTGGCCTCTCTGTGCAGCATCCCTTCCTCCAGGGTAGGGGGCCGGACCCTCTCTGGAATGAGTGTCTTATGACCCACAATTAGATTAGAGTCCTGCCAAGCGGGCAGGTGAAAGGAAGGCAGGAAGAAGGTGAGAAAGAGAGAGATTCTGTTTACTGTAACGAGGGCTATGGAAGTTATGAACTAGGAACCATGGAGGAAAACCAATATATCATAATATCACAGTACTTCATTACTTTGTGTGGCTGAATGATATTCCACTGTGTAGATACACTCCATTTGTTTGTCCATTTATTAGCTGATGAACATTGTTTTTTTTTGTTTGTTTGTTTTTTTACTTTTTGGCAAAATGAATAATGCTGCTTGGCACATTTGTGTATAAGTTTTTGTTTGAACACTTGTTTTCAATTCTCTATACCTAGTACAGATTCAATATACCTAGTACAGATGTTCCTTGATTCAAGATGAGATTATGTCCCAATAAATCCATTGTAAGTAGAAAATATCTTAAGTCAAAAATACATTTAAGGCCAGCGCTATGGCTCACGCCTGTAATCCTAGCACTGGGAGGCTGAGGCGGGAGGATTGCTTGCACTCAGGCATTCCAGACAAGCCTGAGCAAGAGTGAGACCCCATCTCTACTAAAAATAGAAACAAAATTAGCCAGGCAACCAAAAATAGAAAAAACTAGACAGGCCTAGTGGCATGTGCCTATAGTCCCAGCTACTCAGGAGCCTGAGACAGGAGGATTGCGTGAGCCCAGGAGTTTGAGGTTTGAGGTTGCTGTGAGTTAGGTTGATGCCACGGCACTCTAGTCCAGGCAACAGAGTGAGACTCTGTCTCAAAAAAAGAAAAATACATTTAATACTCCAATAGGCTGGGCACAGTGGCTCACACCTGTAATCCCAGAACTTTTGGAGGCTGAGGCGAGAGGATCCCCTGAGGCCAGGAGTTTGAGACAAGCCTGGGCAATATATCAAGACCTCATCTTTTTAAAAAATCAAAATAATTAGCTGGGCATGGTGGTATAAACCTGTAGTCCTAGCTGCTTGGGGGGCTGAGGCAGGAGGATTGCTTGAGCCCAGGAGTTCAAGGTGGCAGTGAGCTGTTATTGCACCACTGCATTCCAACCTGGATGACAAAGTGAGACACTATCTTTTAAAAAAAATTAAAAATACCCCAATAAGCCCATCATAAAGTTGAAAAATTGTAAGTCAAACCATCCTAAACTGGGGACCATTTGTAGTGGAATTGGTGGATAATATGTTCTATGTTTAACTTTTTGAGGAAAGGCTAAACTGTTTTCCAATGGGGATATGCCATTTTGCATTCCCACCAGCAATGTGTAAGTGTTCCATTGCTCCCTATCCTCACTAGAACCTGGAACTGTCAATTTTTTGTTTTTTAGTTTTGGCCACTTCAGTGGGTATCCCATTGTGGTTAATTTGCATTTCCCTAATGACTAATGATGTTGAGCATCTTTTCATGTACTTATGTTACTGAACCATACTAGGGTCCACTCACCCGCTGCAGCAGAGCCAGACACGGATCCCAAGAGTTGCAGCTGAAGAAAGGCATTTTATTGTATGGCACCATGCAAAGAGAATGGGCATCTAATGCTTAAGACTCAAACTCTCTGAAAACGGCTGGAGGGGTCATAAGTGGATTCAGAGATTCTTTGATTATAGGAAAGGAATGTTAAGGCGGGTGTGGCTCTTTCCAGACCCCTCAGGGAGAACAAAGAACAGCAGCCAGAGGTCAGTCCTCAGTTCCTCCTTATCTGCATTTTCCATCTGGTGGAGGTTTCTGAAAAAAACAAAACAAACAAACAAAAAAACCAAGAACACATTAAGATGGTATCTTTGGGCTGGGCACTGTGGCTCACACCTGTAATCTTAGCACTCTGGGAGGCTGAGGCGGGAGGATTGTTTGAAGTCAGGAGTTCGAGATCAGCCTGAGCAAGAGCGAGACCCCATCTCTACTAAAAATAGAAAAATTAGCCGGGCATGGTGGCGCATGCCTGTCGACCCAGCTACTTGAGAGACTGAGGCAGGAGAATCATTTGAGCCCAGGAGTTTGAGGTTGCTGTGAGCTAGGCTGATGCCACGGCACTCTAGCCTGGGTGACAGAAGATTCTGTTTCAAAAAAAAAAAGGAGTTTGAGGTTGTGGTGAGCAACAATGATGCCACTGTACTCTACCCAGGGTGACAGAGTGAGACTCTGCCTCAAAAAAAAAAAAAAATAGAATCTTTTAGTTTTCATAGGGAACTAAAACGTCTCCTGGCCAGGCCTCTGGGAGGCCGAGGCGGGCGGATTGTTTGAGCTCAGGAGTTCGAGACCAGCCTGAGCAAGAGTGAGACCCCGTCTCTACTAAAAATAGAAAATAAATTAATCGGCCAACTAAAAATATATGGAAAAAGTTAGCCGGGCATGGTGGCGCATGCCTGTAGTCCCAGCTACTCGGGAGGCTGAGGCAGAAGGATCGCTTGAGCCCAGGAGTGTGAGGTTGCTGTGAGCTAGGCTGACGCCATGGCACTCACTCTAGCCCAGGCAAAAGAGTGAGACTCTGTCTCAAAAAAAAAAAATAAAAAATAAAACGTCTCCTGACTCTGACTTGCTTGGTGAACTACTTATTACTGTGTCCTTGCTTATCGGGTTGCTAATTTACTTTTCAAGGCTAGCTAGGTGCCTGGAATACCCTTGAAGGGACTCAAGATTTTTCCTTTACTTCCATGCTTGGCCCCCACCCCACCTCCACAGGTCCCTAAGAGGCGCCCTTGCTCTGTCTCACTTATTGGCCATTTGTGTATCTTTGGAGAAATCTCTATTTGTAACAGAGGTAAAGGTCTGAAGAAGGGCAACAAAATGTTTTATGAATTGTCTCTTTAAACCCTCCCACCCTTTTTGGGAATTAAAACCTGTATTCCTGCCTCAGGCCAGAAATCAAAGGGGCAGAAAAATGTCCTTTGCTGTTTGTTTCCTGGCATCTTGAACCACATGAGATGGCTCAACAGAATTGTCCTGACAAAGGTCAAAAGGGTGATGAGATCCCAGAGATAAGGGCTACCAAAACCACCAATTACTGTTCCACAACAACAATAGCCTGAAGCCAGGATATGTGACACTGGTCACATAGATAGTAGCCCAACTGCCAAAAACTCCTCTTTTGAAAACCTTGTTTTTCTGCTTGAAGTCAGGATGGCAGTCTTTGAGTCCACTGCCCTTCTCATTTGCTGGCAAATTAATAAATTTCTCTTTCCTTTTCTTCAAACCACTTGTCCTTGTTCTCTGTTCTGATTCAGCCTCAGGGACAAATACCGAACTTTCCGTATTCAAGTCCTTTGCCCATTTTATATTGCCCTTTTAGTTGAGTTGTAAAAGTTTCTTCTTAAGTTAACTTTTGTTGGCCTAAAAGGAAGAAGTTGAGGCAAAATTAATGTAAGTAGAGAATTTATTTGGGCCAAGCTTGAGGATTGCAACCCAAAGCGTAGATTTAAGCTGCCCTGAATATACACTCCAATGAGCAGCGGTTACAAGTGGATTTTTATCTTTTTATTTACTTATTTTTTTTCCTCTGGTCTGGCTTCTCAATAACTAGTGGATTTCTAATGGGAAAAAAAAAGGGGCAGCTCCAGAGTTGTTTACCAAGAATTTGCATTAAAATAATATAAACTATTTATTGGCTAAACACTGTTCTCTGTATCACAAATCCCAGGAAAGTGAGGGTAAAGGGTGAGTAAGCTAGTCAGGAACAAAATGATTTTAAGCAATTGCCTCCAGGCATGGGTGTGTGTAGGGTTATGGGGCGCATGACTGAAGTCCCAAGCTTACGTCTCTCTGGGCCTGATAAATTTTGCATACCTCACGTAGACTGTTCTTAACCATTTTTCTTTTCTCACTTAAAATCTATTTAAAGAAAAATATTAAGTAAACAGTAGTGCAAACACATTTAACTCAATATAGAAATTAGGAACTAGTCGCTTGACATTTCGGGAAAGATATTTAACTTCTTTGCGACTCAGTTTCTCCGACGTTAAAATGAGATTTGTTCCAAATGAGACGACGCCTGTGAAGCGCGTACCCAGCGCTTGGCACAGCCGAGCCCTCAGTGTTAGCCACGACCATGCGACCCCCCGCGTTCGGCTTGCGAAGGGAGCCCCGCTCCCAGCCGCACAGAACTTCCCGCGCATGCTCCTTTCCTCAGGACTTTGTCCGACACCCGCCCCTAGAGGGGAGTTGCCAAGACCTGGGGCCTAACTTCCGTTTCCGGGGTGGTGGGCCGGCTTCCGGCGGCGTGACCTGTTCGCGCACGAGGCCGGCGGGGTGCGGGAGCTGGAAGGGCCTACGCTGGCGCCCGGTAACTGAGTGGCGGGTGGGAATGGCCGGGTTGTGGCTCCTCCGGCGTTTCAGCTTCAGGACGGGAGGGACGGGGGTTGTCTTGCGGCCGAGGCCGGCGCCGCAGTGAAGCTCGTCTCGCTGCCTCTGCCTGCCCTTTACCCGCTCCCCGCGATTCCTGTGACGGCGGGCCCTGTGGGTGGGAGTCGGGGGACGTGAATTCCATTCCATTCTGCATCACTGCTTGGCTCTTTAACCTTGGGAAGGACATGTCCTTTCGCTGACTTCAGCTGTCTTTATTTAGAAGGTGGAGATTGTATTTACAGTGACTCTGAGCTCCTTAAGGGCAGGAACTGACTAATGTTAAACTCTGTTGCTTGTCCCTGGCACAGCACTAGGACAGTGTGTACTCTGAACTCACTTAAGTTGTTTTAAGTCACAAACCCTTTGAAAATTTAGTGAGAGCTATTGCTCCCTCACCTCCCTAACACCACCCCTCCCGTCTCCTCCCCAAACACACACAAATGCTCAGATACAGGAAATGTGGTTTACTATTTCACGTATTTCTGAGATCTCTTCTGATGCCCATCCGTGGATCCCAGAGCCCGGCAAGTAGTAGGCATTCAAGTATTTATAATCATCAGATAATAGGTGTTCAGTTAATCATTTTTAAATTCATGAAACGCTCTCCACTTCACAGGAGGGAAGATAGATATCCTATTAACAAGTTTTAATCACTGGCCTGGAAGTGTGTTACTCTTAAGTCTCCCAGCAGCTCCTCTCCATTTTGAGGCTCGAGAGAATTAACTGGCTTTAGGTCATTCAACCTGAGTGGTGGAGTCAAGAATTCAAACCCGTATCTATCTGAAACTCCAAAGCCCCATGCTCTTAACCTCTAGCTAGTAGGAATAGGTGCAGAAATGTATTTGAATGTATTCCACCGCCTGTATTGGTAGTTATGAGATGGTTTTTATCAACGCAGGTAACCCCAAACCAAACATTGCATGGTGTGGAAATACTTTTTGCCTGTCTCCTTTTCTTCCATGGTACCTGTATTGCTTGTTTAATAATGACAACATGTTTTACAACCTTCACTCTATGCCCGTATTTATTCCAACCTTTTAACTTTGGTTGATACTTGATCAGCTGTGTTGACTGATTATGGCAATATCCGTTATGTTGCCTTGTTCTTCCTGCCCTCCAAAGGAGATGTTTTGATTATAATTGAAATATAAGATGATAATACTTAGGCTTTATTTCTTTTTCTTTTCTGTACTACTTTTAAAGGGACTGTTTTAGGGATCTTGGAAGCCTTGCCAACATGTCTGACATTCAAGAAGCTACTAACCAACTCCTAGATGTGAACCTTCATGAGAACCAGAGATCTGTACAAGTGACAGAAAGTGACCTTAGAAGTGAGTCTGAGCTTCTAGTCACTATCGGAGCCACTGTACCTACTGGCTTTGAGCAAACAGCAGCAGATGAAGTGAGAGAGAAATTGGGGTCATCATGCAAAATCAGCAGAGACCGTGGCAAGATATATTTTGTCATTTCAGTGGAAAGTCTGGCTCAGGTTTGAATGAAGCAATATTTAAAATAGTTTTCTAAATTCATTTTGTGGTTACTTTCCAGTTTATAGACCCCTGTGGAATCCCTCTTGATTTTCATTGCTCTGCTCCAAATCAGATGATTTTAAAGTATTACTGCGTTTTCAATTTGGTACTGATTTGTACTTTTGACTACAGGTTGAGTATCCCTTATCGGAGATGCCTGGGACCAGAAGTGTTTGGAATTTCAGATTTTTTTCAGATTGAGCATCCCAAATCTGAAAATCCAAAATGCTCCACTGAGCATTGTGTTGGCGCTCAAAAAGTTTCAGATTTTCAGATTAAGGATGCTCAGCCTGTAGTATTAGTAGGTTTGCTATGTTTTTAGAAGTGATCTTGGTATTTCTTGAGGATTGGATTTACCAGAAAGAATCTTTAACTTACTTATTTCAGCAGCTAGCTGAAGACTAGCTTAGACTTCGGTGACGAAACATAAGAAATTTTTCCTTTAATCTTTTTCAAAGAAATTCTTGCCCAAAAGTAATTAGGAACCAACTGCCATCCCACTGCAATAAAAACTAAGATATATCTTGTTACCACATAAGCAACACAAGAGCTTATGGGATTGTTGTCTGTTTTTTTTCCACCAACATGTTCCAAGCTTTAGTGTCTGGCATATAGTAAGCACCACATAAATATTTGTGGAATGAATTGGTAAGCAGAAGTTTTCCATCCAGTATTTTAGTTAATAGCCCCAGCAGTTTTGTGAAGATAGACACTATTATTATCCTCATTAATCATTAGATTTAGGAAGAATAAATAATTTGCCCAGGGTCACTCAGCTAGTAATCACAAAGCTAGAGTTCAACCCCTCTGCTCCTAACCACTGTGATATACTGTCCCTTAGAGAGTCATGAGGGAAATATGATAAAGCTCCACTTGAATGTCTTCATCTTTGCCTTTTCCTCCCAAACACGTGTTGCCCACAAAACACTTAAAGCTTCTGTCCTTCCATTTGTCCTTCCCTCTTCGTAGGGGAAGAGCAGAAACTGATGGATGGGTAACCAAACAGTTAGGATACTAGGGAAATGGGAAAATTTAAAAATACAAAATAGAGATAGTAGCTGCTTTAAAATTATTATGCCTATTTTTAAAATATTTAATTGTTGATAGCTTGTGCTGTTCAAAAGCTTTCTCAGAATTTGTTTCTTTTTTTCGCCTCCCCAGGTTCATTGTTTGAGATCAGTTGATAACTTATTTGTGGTTGTTCAGGAGTTTCAAGATTACCAGTTCAAAAAAACAAAGGTGAGCTAGCCCAAACATTATGCCTGATTTTCAGCCATCTTCTCCAAAGAGATTATTTTTACTTTTCACATTCTGCCTGTCATTTGGCATTACTATTGCTTTTGTAATAGGGAATGCTGGGAGGCTTTTACAGTAAAATCCAGAGATTTGCTGACAGTCTATCCCAAAAGTTTTTAAAAAATCAATATTGAAAAACACAAAGGTTTATAAGAAATAAAACAAATTGGGGGGGGAACCAAGGGCAACACACGTAACCTAAACATCTGTACCCCATAATATGCTGAAATAAAAAAAAAAAGAAATAAAACAAATTGTTTGACTTTCTTACAAAAGATATAAACCTTAGATTAGCTTTGTTGATATTTATATATATAGTTCCAAAATAGAATTGCTTCTAGAGTGTGAACCAAAGAACAAGTTGACAGTTTGTGTGTCATCTACAAATAACATTTCCTCACTATCCTGCTTTTTCCCTGCTTTCTTCCCTCCTTCATTTTTTGAAATAAGGCCAAAGTAATATCTAAATACTCCTTTGGTTGTTAGGACAACAGCTTTGTCTCCAACAAGTATTTAGCATCTGAATCCTAAATATTCAGTTGCTGCCTAAACTGAAGGTTGAAAATAGATTGCAACAAGGCTTTAGGATTTTTCTACACTGCTTTTTGGTCAGCTCCAGAGTCAACTGCTTAAAAACATTTTTCTATCAATTTTATTGCCTATCTTAGAAATAATTTTTTTTAAAACAACTATGATATGCTGCCTAATTCTCTAACTTATTTATTGGCCACAGGTTGATTTCCAAAACATTATTTAAAAACCAGTCATGGCTGGGTGTGGTGGCTCACTCTGGGAGGCCAAGGCAGGATGATTGCTTGAGGTCAGGAGTTCCCGACCAGCCTGAGCAAGATTAATACCCCATCTCTACCAAAACCAGAAAAAATTAAGTGGGCGTGGCTCATACCTGTAGTCCCAGCTACTCGGGAGGCTGAGGCAGGAGAATTGCTTAAGCCCAGGTGTTCGAGGTTGCAGTGAGCTATGATCATGCCATAGCACCCTTCAGCCTGGGTGACAGTGAGACCCTGTCTCCAAAAAAAAAAACAAATCAAAATGATATGAACCAACAGCCTAGAAAAAATAAGACCAGACCTAAAAGAATTCAGACTAAAAAGC